AAGCAACCCGAAGTCAAACACTGGTTCAATAAACGGATGTGAAGTCGACGTACCAGGAGCACCAGCACCGACGCGCTGGGCATAGTTGCCCTTCTTCAAGAGACGGTGAATACGGCCGACCGGGAATTGGAGACCAGCGCGAGCAGAGCGCGACTGCGTCTTGGCGTCGCCAGAGCCGGCCTTGCCAGAGGAAGATTTGCCAGCTTTGCCCTTTCCAGACTAGAAGGGTTCGCGTCTGAGTCAGCTCGAAGTCCTCGACGCGGACAGGCGAAGCGAATTACTTACCATTGTTGAGTGTAGGTTGAGGTTGGTGGAGAGGTAAGACAAGGGTGGGGTGGTACGGGGCAAAGAGACGTTGAACGGCGGAACGCTAGGAGACGAAGGGTTTTATAGGAGAAGGCAAGAGGGAAGACGCGTGCGTGACGTTAGAGTTTGCGCCGTTGATTTGAGTCAACAAGCGCGGGACGCGCCCATATCATCTCACGTGACTACTGCAAACAACGACAAAGGGCGATCCGTATATAAGCTGGACTCTGGCTTTCGACCTCGTCAACGCTACTCGTCCATCGCCCACCACCGACTCCTTGCCGGCACTATCAACACTCAACTCTCCTCGCCAACCCGCCCACTAAATCGCAATGGCCCCGAAACCCGCTTCTACTGCCGGCAAGGCTCCTGCCTCCACCTCCACCGCGTCTAAGGCGCCTGCCAAGACCACGGAGAAGAAGGCGGCGAAGAAGACCAGCAAGACGACCTCTGGCGACGGCGAGTCCAAGGACAAGAAGCGCCGTAAGGTCCGCAAGGAGACTTACTCGTCCTACATCTACAAGGGTGAGTTCGAACTACATGGTTTCGCGCGATATCGTGGCTGACTCAGATTGGATAGTGCTCAAGCAGGTGCATCCTGATACCGGTATCTCCAACAAGGCGATGGCTATCCTCAACTCCTTCGTCAACGACATCTTCGAGCGCATCGCAACCGAGGCATCCAGTACGTCCACTTGTGCACATGCACAGCCTGTATCCAAATTCAACTCTTCCTGCAGAGCTCGCTGCGTACTCGAAGAAGTCGACCATCTCATCGCGTGAGATCCAGACTTCGGTCCGCCTCATCCTCCCCGGTGAACTCGCGAAGCACGCCATCTCTGAGGGCACCAAGTCTGTAACCAGTACGTGTCGTGTCGCCCTCACGCGTCGATAGCATCTGACCGACACTTCGCAGAATTCTCGAGCGCTGCCTCGAAGCCATGAGTAGGCTCTACTCTGTAGCTCCTCGGGTGTGCATACCCACTATTCAGTACCGCGAGAGTTAGTCAAGCGGGCTGTGTCTTCTCGCATTCGGTTGCCTTTGTACTCGCTGTATTGTACCGTATTTTATTGATTTTTCTTTTCGCCATTTCTCTCAGTTTGGACGTCCAACCGGTGTGACCTCTGGAAATTATTCTGCGTGTCTTATCTCACTGTATGTCGAATCCGTTTTCGGACGACGTACGACGTGCGAAACGACACTGGAGTGGACAATGCGAACATTGTGGTGACATGTTGTCGTGCACAGTACTATACAAGTTTCAGTAGATCGCTCATTACACCCATCGCTGTCACCGCCGCCCCAGCACCCGCGCCTTGTACAATCAACGGTCGCGCGCCGTACCGTTCTGTGTGGAACATGATGATATTGTCTGAGCCGCCTAGGGAGGTAGCGAACGGGTGTGTTGTCGGATACCTGCGGCACACCACGTGAAGTCAACCTCGGCGTCCCTATAAGGCCAGATGATGTTGGGGTATGTATGTATGACTCACTGTACGAGATCGGCTTTGATCTCCCCGCTCGCGACGTCAATGACGCCGACGTATCGGAGCACCTTGCCCTCCTCCGCCGCCTGGCCCCGTGTCCTGTCGAAGTTGTCGTCCAGCTCGGGAAGGCGCTCGAGGAACTCGTCGCCGGTCGCGATGCCCTCAAGGTCGGGCGGGACGAGGGAGGTGATGGAGACGGATTGGTAACCGTCGGGCAGGGCGGCGCGAAGGGAGGGGATGAAGCGCGAGAGAATCGTCAGCTTGCGGGCGACGTCGGCGCCATTCAGGTCATCGCCGGGGTGGGGCTCCTATACGATACGGTAACGATGAGCTCTCTTGTCGGGACGCGGAGGAGGTTGGGGTGACGTACGGTGTAGCCCTTCTCTCGCGCGACTTTGACGACGGACGAGAACGAGGGCCCATCGGGCTTGCCGGTGGAGAACTCGTTGAAGATGTAGCTCATGGTCCCCGAGAAAACGCCCTCTATCTTCGAGACCTTTGCGAACGCATCGTCAACACTGACACATAGTAGAATTATAGCATGAAAACATGCCTTGTCCCCTGTAGCCACCAGATCCTTCAACGTTGAGATGATAGGCAAGCCGGCACCAACCGTCGCCTCGTTGAAGAACCTAGAACCGTTCTCGAGGCTCGCAGACAGGATTCGCTCATAGAGGGGCAACCCAGCCGAGAACGCCTTCTTGTTAGGCGTGATCACGTTGATCCCAGACTTCAAGAACTCGGGGTAAAACGCGGCAACCTCCTCGGAGGATGTGTTGTCCACGAGGATCACCCTGCGCCCGGGGGTGACGATCCCCGCTAGCTCCCGGTGTATATCGATGATGTTCGGCTTGACGCTCGACTGGGCAAGCTGCGCTTTCCAGTCCGACCCGGACTCAAACTTCAGCCCATCGGCCGCGAAGAGGTGGAGCTTGGATGAGGTGAGGGAGACGAGGTGGAAGTGGTTTGGCTTGGGGAAGCCCAGGAGCTGGTTGACGAACTCGCTGCCGACGAGGCCCGTCCCGACCACGGCGACGGCGATGTCGATGATGTCGCTGCTCGATGAGGACGCCATCCCGCGGTAGTGGACGTTCGAGTTATACGGAATGACTCGAGTAAATAATCGTAGTTGAATCCCCTGAATATTATTGTAGCGCCATAATCGATCGGAGCACGGTCGCCGATAGCACGAAATAACACGGTGGTTGCGCCTTCGGAGAGCCAGACAGAGTTTGCATGGGCGCCTAAACGTTCATCCTGCTCTCGTGTTCAGGCTCGTCCGTAACTCGAAACTCTGAGGATAATCAAGGGTTGCTCTAGAGCGCGTCGCTGCATGCGGAAACATGCCAGCTGTGTCGAAGAAGTTCAGAGCACGAGAGAGCCGGTCCTGAAATGGACTGGTGGGCTCTCTCACAACCATGTTTGATGCCACTGGACGCCAGCAAACTCCTTGGGTTCGATGTAACTTGCTCTATCTTTCGGACTCGCATCTTCCAACGCTATGTTCGTGTGTTCGGTCTTGGTCACCGTGAGTGAATACCAAGATACACCACGAGACATTCATCGCTGCCCGATTTACACGACCATATATTTACAGGGACACAGAGCATACGTGTGCTCTATAACCTATTTAGAGGCTGTATCACCATCTCCGACGATGTTTCCTGGTGGCGTTTGTTAAGATGAGAAGCACTCAAATCTTCCTCAGCTGTGCGCAAGATGGAACCGGAATATGATGATCAGAGCGTTGACGAATTCTCTGGGAATCGTAACTGTCTCCCGCATAGGCAGTTCCCTGGTCCTCGAGCGCAATCTGGACACACGCGTTACTCCATCAACGCAAAGTCCAAGTATACCGGGCGGCGTCGTGGCTGTGAATTATATGACACGGTTCGTACAAACCAAGACGCCATGTATGAAGTTCCGCTGTCGGACTATGGCGTTTTGCTGGATCTACAAAGACACGCGTACGTACCCGTCAAAAGCCACTGTGACAAAAGCAAGGTACTCTCCAAATTATTGCTGTTTTGTCTATCCCGTGCCGACGGTTTCCGTAACAAATTGCCAATCCACTTGGTCGCGATTTACTGCTTCCTGCCGGTATGGTCACCTACCCGCAAGCCACGGTTTCATCTCTAATGCTTGACACAAAGTGCTCAACCGGGGCTTACGCCATCAAACATCAGAGTCTTAGAGACTCATAACTGCTCCTGGCAATGACGGCGAGGGCGAGGTGCCGGCGGCAAGTATATCAAGGTTCATACCATCCCTTCAAGGGATGCTGTACATCGAGCGGGCGGACGTCCTACACTCACTCTCCCGTGCTACGGCAACTCATACACGACGGGATCAGATAAGCATCACGGTACGCGTTGTCTTTGTTAAGCTTTTGCCGATGCATTCAACCTCTTGACAACAGCCGTCCCCGGAGCTTCTAGCGCACTGGGCCGGTCTTCAAGACCCTTCCAGAGGCGAGGCGAGGACGCGCCGAGTCGGATCTTGCGGATGACTTTGCATGGGATCGTCATTCCGCCGCAGCATCTCTGACTGCATAGCGTACGTGGCACAGAATCCTCTTCCTACGCCTGGAGCTTCATTGAACAATTTCAAGGTTACGAATTGATAACTCCGCAGTTGGTGCAAAGGTTGGGGACACTCTCATGAGCCGATTTCGCCTCTTTCGAGTTTGTGGCACATCCGCGCTCTCACACCTGACGGAATACCGAAGATGTACTGCAGTACAACTCTTGATGCCGTAAGGAAGGTTCCGCAGCGGACCTTTGTTTCTCATCATGCGTTCTTGTGAATTCAGCCAGCGGTGGCGATGAATGTGAACGAGCGAGCCTCCATCTCGTGTACTTCGCAAGCAATGGTGCTCAGTCCATGTGGATGAGGCATAAACCCACACATAGAAAGGTACTATGATGAATCATCGCTCAGGTTGACGAGATAGCAATGCGCGATGATTTCGAGGTGTTTCACATATATTGTCCAAATTCGAAGTTCATCCGTCGTTATGGTGTCACAGGACCCAATACAGAAAAGGACAAGTGGTAGACGTCGACTCACTCAGTGATGGGGGGAGGAGGAAGTAAGGTTAGGGTTAGATCCTGGGCAGGGCGACAACGGAGCGGGCCGCCATAACCCCGTCAGACAACGACGAGGCAAGGAGGGCCCTGTCAACCTGTTCCGCGCACCTGGTCTTATATACATACGCACTCCCGTTTGAAATGCGCTACGCCGGCTGTGCGTCTCCGATGGAACGATGGAAAGATCAATCAGAAGGGAAGGCAAAGCCTCGATGCCATTTCATTCTCATGCGCACAGCCGAGCGCCGAAGATGGCGGAGCGTTTCCCGATCGTCCATCTGCGTCGTGTGAGCCCACCGCGCTGCGCATGCGCAATCGCAAGAGGGTTCCATGACTAATTTTTGACACACACCTCCACGGACAAGTACGTCTCATTTGCTGCGTAGCGCTATGAGACTGTTGACGGCGGCCCCCGATTGCTAATTCCCGGATAGGGATACGGCGAGACTCATACCGACTTACACGCATGTATGTGTCCCATGATTACCTAGCACTATCAACGAGGAGAGTGTCCGACTCGGATGCAACCCTAGACGTATCATTCCATCATAAATTATAACAATTGACAATGCGCACGGCGTGATGACCGGACACATCAGAACGAGAGTGAACCGCCGTCCAGAAGCGGAAGAGGATGCGCCGATCTGGGGGTGGAGCGCGATGGCACTGCAGGTGAGATCGGCACTCTATCGGGATACGGCACACGCACAGGAACCGAGAAACCAAGCGAGACAATACAAACGAGGGCATCGGGTATAACTTAGGACGTGCGGGAGGATCCGCCGCGAGCTTTGATTATTCCGCATCACGACCGAACTCTACATTACTCAGGCTGCGTCAGGCAGAGTAATAGAGTGCGCTTCGGCAGATGGGATAATCACCCTCTAAGACCGATTCGGAATGACATCTCGACTGAGTGGGGACAACGAGGGAAACGATGCCGATGGGTCGCTCGATCCCGACCGTGTACGCGATGCAAAAAAAAAAAAAAAAACGGATAGCAATTGAGAGATGAGGACTGGAACGATGGCTATGGCTACATTGGAGTGATACTGCTATCCTAATACTATCCTACTGACTACGCTAATGCTATGGCTACTCTACACTACGAACTACATACGGGCGTGGTCGTGAAACGGAAGCGGAAAGCGCGCCTGCGCACAAGCCTCTAATCGATATTGCGGCCGCTTTGTAGTACGAAGGCGCCGAGGACGATAGCGGGCAGGAGGCCGCCGGTGATAGCGTCGTAGCTGATCTCGAGGGAGACCATGTTGTGCGATTTGTGCACTCTCGCGACTTGTGTCGATTGGAATGTGCCAGGGAGCATGAGCTAAAGGGTCGATGTGTCGGTCAGCCGCCTTGTTATAGGAGTCATGATGCCGGACGTACGATGAGATCTCGTCCGGCGGGTTTCCAGACGTATTGTACGCCGTCAATGATCATCGTTCTATGACTGCAGACCATTTGTTGAGCATCCGCGTCATTCGAAGCGACGGTGCAGACGAGACTCACGTTCGATCGCTCGATAGCGGTAGCCATTTACCGGCGCGTTGCCGCGGTACGAGGGAACGCACTTCGACGATAGGGCGCGAATGCCAGTCGACGATGCCGACGGGCTTGCCGGTACTGCTGTCCGACAGCGTCGTGAGCAGTCCACCTGAGGACACCTCGGAGTGCACGCGATAGTAGTTCATCGAATGGGGGCCGACGACGGTGCAGTTCAATATTGTGTCCTGGAAGGACGCGAAGTGGAAGGTAACGGAGAGCGGCGTGCTCTTGTAGGCGGATAACGTGGGAGATGAGCCGGGTGAAGACGCCGGAGAAGAGTACGGTGAAGAGTACGGTGAGGAATACGGCGAAGTGTAGGGTGATCCCCATTGCGAGTCGGAGTCGGGAGGTGTCACAACCATGGAGGGGAGTGCACCTGCGACGGAGGGCGGGATGCCACTGCGGGAGGTCTGTGACCATGCCGCAAAGGGATTGACGTGCGTAGTTATCGACATTGCGACAAGGAGGAACTTGGTTGGGGATTTAAGAGAGTTGCGAAGTCTCGATGTTGGCGAGGAGACCACGTTGAGCGCAAAATCCTCAGCATTTTATAGAGAGCTCGCGCGAAAGCGGCCTAGCGAGGGCGCTGATCTAGATTGGAGGCCGGTTGACATCGTCGCCGCGGCGGGAACTTCTCAAGGTACGGCAACGGAAGGTCCGTTTGTGCGTCAATCTTCGAGAGGGTTTGTTCCGGGCTACGCGCGGAGGCGCAGAAGTGACACAGCATGCCGCGAGGCGCAGGAGGTAGATGGGATCGGGTGGGGTCCGAAAGTGATCGTTGCATCAAGGGTCATGGTGGTGGGAGAGGGCGAGAGAGACTCAGAGACGGTTCGAGCGATGGCGGTGTTCTGGTGGAAGCCTAAACAGCGCGTTTTCGGTTGGGTTTGCCGTTCCAGGCGCAAAATCCCGGCAGCGCTCGATCTTGTCATCGACCGAAAGCGAGATAGGGCGAGGTTCCGTGATGGCACGCCTTCCGATACCGTTCGACATTTGATATGGAGGTGCCTCGCCTCGGAGAAAGGGCTCTGATTGGGAGCAAACATGGGGGAGGAGGCGTCATACGGTCGCGACCGTGTGTTCGCAGAACATTCCTGGCGTTCCAACAGTGCCCGAAGTTATTGCTGATGATCAAGACGTGAGGATCCAAGCACCATCTATAGTATGGTCAACGCGTTCCACCGGCAGATACGGAGATGGGGTAAGGGCGCGGGTGAAGCGGGTAGCGGCCAAGGCTGTGCCGTATCTCCGTGTGATGGCTGGGCAAGATCTGATCGGGAGGACTTGTATATAAGCCCTCGACAGACGACCGCTCTCTTTGGGGTCGGCCTCGCGCTACATCCCCCACTATATTGACGTCCGGTAGTTCCTCCTGTATGAGGATTTACCGGATTGAACGTCGTATAACTATTGCCTTTCCATAAGGCACCCTTGGAGGTGTTTTGACATTTTTTTTTCAAGACCTCCGAGGAAACGCTTTGCGATGTCACAATGCAGTCGTAACCCTAACCCCAAATGCACTTCCGTACGGTGACGTCGGTCTGCGTGATGGCTTTGCTTTGCTCAAAAAAATCAGAGTTATCGATTCATCGCCTGTTCTAGTGTGCAAAGGGCATAGATATATCCGCTCTGTAGTAACAAGCAATGGCGATGACGTTTGTCCATCTGGCCTTGCTCTTATCCCTTGTCGCGTTGCAGGACGCTGCGGCGTGGCTGATACTAAACAACAGCTGTGGAGACTTCACGCTCAGCACGGACGATATCTCGGATACGATAGTGACTGTGCAAACACCCAGACAGGAGAGAAACCCGAACATCCTGATCTATACGAGTGAATCTACACCGAACCTTACAACGAAAGACCCAAAAACGATGCGACGTCCCCCGTACGTGCACCTCATCCCAAACGAATGATTCAACCCCCTTGATCAATGAATTGAATGAATGAGCGACTGTAGCCAGGGACTATGCCCTGTCCTGTCCTGTTTTCTCCTGCGTCACTTCACTTTGATCTAGACGTGACGACGGCGTTGCTGATGGTGCCTCCGGTGCACGGTCGAGGACCGGCGCGACGGCGCGCCGTCGGGCGCGGCGTACCACGTCAGGGTAGTCACCCCGACGGGGAACGTGTACTGCGCCTGCGATCCCCTGAACTTGATGACCGTGTCCATGGGCGTTCCCGCACCCGCGTCGTTCCCTGCACAACGAAACACCCGTCAGCCACACACCTAACTAACCCCTTGCGTCGCGAGAAGAGGGACAGGAAAAGGGGAGCGGAGTGGAGTGCACGCACAGTTCATGACGACGAGCGAGTACCGCAAAAAGTCGGCCGAGTTCGCGCGGCCGGTTACGTACGCGCCGACGCGGAGCAAGCCCGTATCGACCGTGCTCGCCACGCGCTTCGCGACGGGGCCCCCGTTATCCTTCGGGATCGTCGCCTTGCTCGCATGCGCCGCCGCAAAGAACTCGGTGTTGAGCACGTAGCTCCCGTCGGCGTTGACGGTGACGACGGGGCGGCATCCGGCGCCGGCGCACGAGTCGGTGCCGGGGAGGATCGGGCCGCCCGATGCGTCGCCGGCGAGGGACCAGAAGAGTCCCGAGGACGAGCCGTGCTCCTGCGAGCCGAGGATGATGTTGTCCATGTTGAACTTGAGGTCGGACCAGAAGTCGGAGCCGATCGTGCCTGCGCATTCGGTGAAGTAAACCTCTTTGTTCGGGTGGGCGGATATGAAGGAGCCCTGTTGGTCGACCGTGCCGGCGTAGCAGTGGAACTAATGATGCGGAACAATAACGTGAGAATGGAGAAGGGGGGATCAGGGAAGAGAGGGTGTGGCGACGCACCGAGGCGCCGGCGAAGACGTTCGGCGAGTTGTCGACGACTTGTACAGGATAGTTTGCCGCGTCGATCCAGTTGTGCTCATACTGAGTATGTGATCATTGATTAGCGAACTGCCCGTCGAAAGACGTTATGATCAGCCGACACGTACCCCGATAATCTTGGTCGCGGTGAAACCGTTCGTGTCAAGCAACGATCGCAGGGAAGTCGCGACCTTCGCCTCGAGGTCCGCGGCCATCGTGGCCGTTGGGTACGTCGTGTCCCCGTTCTCGGGCTCGTTCTGGATGGAGACCGCGAACGCGGTGACGCCCTTGGATTGCCAGCCTTGCAGGGCCTTTAGTATGTAGTTCGCGTCTGAACACAGCAGCATATGGGGAAAATTCCGTCAGTCGGTGCTACAGAAGTTCGCATGCATGCTGGTGAAAAAAGTCGTACATGTGTCGATGAATTCGGTCTTGAGCGAACCACCTTTCATCGAGCCGCTGTCCTTCATCCAACCCGGCTGTTGCGAAGGTGAGCTCCGCATTTTATGAGATGGACGCGAGACGTACGGGACTCCACGGGACGAAGTGGACTTTGATCGCGCTGTTGATGGCCATGATGTCGCTGACGACAGAGAACACCTCGGAGGGCGCCGCGTCGATGGTGAACTTGCTGAGCGACGTGTCGCCTTCCGTGTCGTCGTAGCTGTAAACTGTGAGGGTGATAATCCTCGCCGTGAGATCACAGCCAAAAAGACTGAATCGTTGCGTACTAGATGCTGAGAAGTCAGAGGCACCGAGCGGGATTCGGAGGTAGGAGAGTCCGGCGTTCTCGAAGTTGGCATCCGTGGCTGAAGTTGGACCATGAGTTTGATGGGTTCGTAGAGGTCACGGATGGCACGCACCGTCAAAGAGCTTGTTCAAGAGCGTATTGTAGTTTCCCGCATTGGACGACTGTGACACATATGCTAGTCAGGTGATACGGCACGCATATATACGGTAAAAAAAGTACCTTGAGCCCGTTCAGCGTAGTCGCTGCAGAGTCGGCTGTACGACAAAGGTCATCATATTCCCGATTAGGAAAACTCGTCAGAAGGAGGAGACTGACTGAGGGTAGCGCCGAAACCGTGAATGATTTGCGACACGCTCGAATCGTCTACTGAGATCGTGGCAGCTCCGCTTTTGGCCGACGTGTCGAAGTTGATAGGTGGGTCCTGTGCCTTGTATTGGAGCAGCTGAGACTTGTCTTCCGTGGTTGTCCACTTGAGCCAGGCAAATCATCAACACGCGGTGGCAACACTAGCAGGAAGGAATGAACTCACCACGTCGAAGATCTGCTGGGCCGAGGCGAGGCGCGTACCAAGGCAGATGACTGCCAGATGGAAGGAACAGAAACGCATTATAGCGAGGATATTACGATCGACAACAGATTGTTCAGCCGCGCTGTCTGCACACACACGCAACGCGACCAGCGCGCGAACCCTAGGGGAGAACGGCGAAGGAAGGGGGACGGGGAAAGGGGGGAAGAGAGAGACTCAAGAATCAACAACGCTCGCGTTCAAAATTGATGATGGACTGGCCGAGTTGGGCCACCGAATGCCCATGCATGGCCGGGCAACGCAACGAGAGCCACGTGCGGATCATCAGGAGCTGGTGGCCGCCGCCGGACCATATATTCTAGTGATCGTCCCGGCGCTGGTGTACCTGGCTGTCGGAGTCGCAGCATGGAGAGATGGAAACCCCTTCGGGTGAACGTTCCCAGTATCGTCGCGAACGGGTTACCGGTAATATCCGTACGTCGCGATGCAGTCGTTCCCAGCAAGCTAATTCGTGAAGGAGACCAATCCGCGAGGCATGCAGACGGTGGATGAAGGAGACGAGCACGCCATGATCTGCAACATTGGCAACGGATCAGGGCCACTTGCCACGTGTCGCCTCGGGCCACAAGCTCAGGGGAGATTGAAGCGTAAGGTTTCAGACCACTCTGAGACCATGTATCAGATTAGAACGACGACCACGTATACAAGCTTATGAACGGCATAGATGCTAGCTACGCCGCCCTGCCCCGTCTCCTACCTTCGAGCCCAACATCGCCGACGGAACAAAGCCTCGTTGTCGACTGCTTCCTAGACACCGAGCATTGCTATCAAAACGCCGATAAACACCACGTATCGCGCCGAGATCCCGAAGGATGCATACCAAAGCATCATGTTGCTGATCATGACTGCGAGTTACTGGGACCGAGATGTCCCACCGGTCCTCCATCTCTTGCCCCAAATTTCACATGCCAGGACGGGGACAACGCTCGCTCCAGTCAACGCCGCCAGAATCCCCGTGAACTTCGCGTCGCCCAAACGCTCCGCCGCGCCCGCCGCGTAAAATGGCACCGTGAAGCCGAAGACCTAACCACAGGAGCAAAATGTATCAGCAAATACCGTCGCGGCAAGGCAAATCTAAGCCCAGAGGAATGAACTACGGCGAAAGCAAGTCCATGCAGCAGGAGAGCCACGACTAGAGCCCGCCATGACAGCGATCGCCAAATCGACAAACAGAAAACACGAGCATGAGCCCTTTGAGTAATAGTAACTGACCTGCCTGACCACGAGCACGAATGTCGCCACCGCGGCCGCGTCCTCCTTGTACGTTTCGAGACAATACGCATACACCGGCGTCGTCACGAGCTGCAGCCCGAAATACGCGATCCCGCCGCCAACGTCGGGCGTCACGTTCCACCTCCCCTCCTTCGCCTGCTGCAACCTCACCCCCCAAATCACGAGCCCGACCGCAGCCAACACAAAGCCCGGATAACTCGCCGGCAGCCTCATCTCCGGCTCCCGAGCTCCCCCAGCTTTCGCGGATCGCCAGCGCACGAGCCGGTCGCTGCCGTACCCGGCCACCTGCTCCCCGAGCACGGCACCGATCACGAGCGCGACGAACTGGAGCCCGACCTGCGCCGCGTCCAGCCCAAACTTGGCTCCAAAGAACTGCGGCACGAGCACGGTGAGCAGCACCCCCGCGTACGCGAACGCGACGCTGTACGCGATCGTGCAGAGCAGCACGGGCGGGCGCAGGGCCATCCGGAAGGGCCGCACGAACTCGGCCGGGCGGAGCGGCCGCGGGTCGATGCGACGGAATCGGACGTAGGCTGACCATGTCTGACCGGAGCCGGTGGACGGCGTGGTCAGGGTATCGGAGGAGCCAGATGCTGGCAGGTTATCGGGTGTACGCGACGGCCGCATGTAGAGCGTTTCGGGCCCGAAGAATAAGTAGCCGAAAAAGAGGGCGAGGCTGAGGATCGCGAGAAGGTAGAACAGCCAGTGCCATCCTTTGTTCTGCACGATGAAGCCTCCAACTACGGAGAATGCGAATTAGCGTCTGACGTTGCGAATACGACGAGAGTGGCACTCACGCAAAGGTCCAAGGGGCGGGCCGATGGTCACCAGCAACGTCCATACCCCCATCTGGTAAATACAGTCGATGAGACCCCCCGGCCGATACCATGAGTGGGACAGAAAGCACACCTTCTGTCCAATCTCGTGCTGGAAAAACACCTCTTTGACCGTCGCGGCTCCGATAGCCAAAGGAGGGCTGACGCAGATCGCCTGAAACACCCTCGTCGTCATCAGCGTGCCGTACGAGCGGCAATACGCGCCACCGAGGGTGCACGCGGCGCTGGCGATGCTCGAGAAGAGGTAGAGCGGCCTACGACCATAGCGCGCGGACAGGGGGCCCCATAGCACCGGGCTGACGCCGAGGAAAACGATGTGAACCGCGGTTAAGTAAGATGCCCGAGTCACCGAGACGTCGAATTCTGCGAGAATTGTCGCGAACATGTCAGCGGACGAGGCGAACGGTGATATGAGTAACGCGAACCTTGCGCGAAGTTGAAGTAGGCGGGGATGATGATGGCCGACGAGAAGATGGCCAGGAAGGCGTGGAAGGACACGAGGAATAGGACTACGTGCTTTCGCCACCTGAATAATGAAAGCATTGAAGACTTGGTCAGGAAGGCGGATAAAGGCCGCACGTACGAAGGCCAATTCAGCGGATCATCTGGACCATCTGCAGGCAGCGGTACGAGGTCAACCCGTCCATGACGATGATACACCTTGTCAAGCCCCATGCTCTTGACATCTTCGTCAATCGCCGACTCCGGCTTCTCGACCTGCATGGTGGATAGGATAGTCAGGTCGATAGAAGGCTCGTACTGAAGCGCGTTTGCATACCTGTTTGTCCCATTTAAAGCTACAGAACGAGAGCAGGACCACCGGCGGCCAGGATGTCGTGAGATACGCGATCGCCGTTTTACGCCTCAGAGCGCGCAGAAGCGCAAGAATGGCCTCTCCAGACCGGTGTGTATCTCAGAAGCCTGAGGTACTGTGACCGCAACGAAGACATCGCTCGCTACCACCATCGTTTCGAACACGCCCTGAACGTCTCCAGAGCTATTCTGAGGTAGGTCCTGAGAACAAGCTTAGCAAGGAGCCCCATTGGGCGTCGTAAAGTCTGGCGTGTGCTCCTTGGAGAAGGTCAAGACGTCTTCAGCGATTGGATGCGATAGAGAGCAGTAAAGTGCATCTTCTGCGAGTCATCCGTGAGAAGACACACAAGTCTAGCAATTACTTGTCATGTAATACGCCCAGGACGAGGCCGTATAGAGGTCGTCGACGAAAACTCGCGAAGGGCGCGTGCGCGGGGGAACTGCACTGCCTGCTCTTCCCGCAACCAACCTCGTCGTCTTCAACATCCCGGTATGCTGAATCAAATGTTGAACAGACATAGGCCGTTTGTCCTGGTAGAACGACCTTGGCGGTTCTCCCTGGCAGGTGTCATATTCGGACATGTGTCCAGGGTACCGTACTTGAACTTCGGGCATTCTGACCTCTGGCCTTATTACACCCTGCACATACCGCACACTACACCAAACTATGGTCCGCTATTCAACATTATCACTGATATCTCTGGCTATCCTCGCCGCCCCTGCTCCGGTTTTGGGTTGTGAGGGTGAATGTATCGTCGGCATCACCAACGCCTTTCTCAGCAACTACACCAGACCCATCCAAACGGTCTTCCAGTATATGGTATGCCCTCAAATCGGCAATTTTGACTCACACATCGTCGCCACTCGCCTAATTCATCTATTTCAGGCGGATCAGATCAGCGACATGATCCCGGATTACGCTCGCGCTGAGAACGTGCTCGAATACCTCGAGCCCATCCTCGACACCTACAGCCTGAACGCGTACGCAGGGATGGAAACCGCCATCTTCCCGCACTATTTCCACGGGAAGTGCCAGCAGGACGGCGTTGACCCCCCTGGTCAGTATCCAATATCTCTGAATTTGGATGAATCGCGCCATTGATCGTCGCAATACACATAGGCTGCCCGAACCCGGACTGTCCCGTCGTATGCGGCACGCCGGGCTCGCTCGTCCACTTCTACCCCACGCTGCGCTTCATCGCCTTCAACCAGACGCGACATATCCTCCGTGACGTCTCGCAGTCTCACACCGACGCCTACGCCAAGGTGGAGGCAGCTATCGTCAACGACGCCACTACGCCCCCGCGGCAACTCGTCAGATCGCGTTTCATGTCACCGGCAGCGGCGCGCAGCTCGGAAGCCGCGATGTCGCGGATCCTGAAGAAGCGCGCGCAGGAGGTGAAGGCACAGCTTCGGGCTGTGCTGGACAGCAGCTGGTCGCTCCTCGAGAAGCAGTGTGGCGGGACGGGCACGGGCGTGACCAACGGGCTCACGTCGTGCAGTTGGGAGAAGGAGATGAAGGAGTACATCTTGTCGTTCCCTTGATAAGCCTCATTGACCACCCGTCATAATGAAGTTCACACCTGCATTGTACACCCTAGCATTGTTATCCTGTATCCGTAGCTTTCCGTTGCAACATGAAGGATATTCGCGTTATCGAGCGCACATCCGATCTCACTTCAGTTGACTGCTTGCTTCGCGCGTATATGATGGATTGTTCTACTCCTGCTACTTCGGAAGAACGCTAAAAATACATGTGTGGGCTACTGTGTAACAAGACATCCGATAGAGGCTTTGAGAGCCTAGGACTAAGCAAGCTATGAGACGCATTGGTGAACGCGAGACGCTTTACACGGCGTCGAGACTGTGAGGGTCATCGCTCCGAAGCATTCGCAAGGTTTCTCGTGCAGCAAAGTCCTGCGCGGCCTTCTTCGTGCTGCCTTCGCCCCTACCATGGGCCTCGCCATCGACTGTACGATCCCAGAATCAGTCTCGATCTCGAAATGAGGAGGTAATCCACTGAATCAACTAACCATACCAATTTGCTATCCATTGCGGCGCATGATCTGGCCCTGTTCGATCTGCTTCCCATTTGAGGTTGGCAGTATGGCCGTCCCGTTGTTGCATGTACTCGTACAGTTGTGAGATGGCGGCTGGCAATGTGGTTGTCAGCAGCGGGTCCGCTACCAGCCGCACACGACAGCTCACAGATATTCAAACCATCAGAGCGAGTGCCGGTCATGATGTCCTCCCGAGCGGTGAGGCGTCTATCGCCACCCTCAAGCCTCACAGTCTGCGATACCCGTGAGGGCCGGTTGAGAAATCTCTTCACGTACGCGAGAATCCCGAAGGCAGACGCGGCGCTCTTGAGTGGAAACAAGGTGGTGAGCAAGGCGATAGCCTAAGAACAACACACGTCAGTGCGTAACTTGACAAATGAGGAACAAGGTTATCAAACCTGGCCCCAGCCCATGCTCAGATCTTCGGGCTGCACATGGTTGTACAATCTGAGAAGCTCGGTGTTGAGGAGGAAGCTTAGGAAGACCAGGGCGGAAACGATCTTCCATACGTGGTGCCGAGCGCGATTGGCATGGTTCGCTCGGAACAAAGAAGTCGTGTAGCTCCCTATGGCCAGGGCGAGGGCAAAGAGCAACAACTCCCGCCCTTTATCGAAGAGCTTGACACCAATGAACAGCGAGAGCATGATCTCGGAGTTGCATTGCGCGTTAGACCCGAATGAGGCCGCGGTGAACAATATGATGGCTAGTGTGGCGAAGACGATGAAAGATTGGGCAGCTGAGACCTTCGACCGACGGCCGCTTGACGTGACTGTATGAGAGACTTGATGGCTGACGAACAAGGCGCTGCCAAGCAGGTAACAGATCACCAGACCGCTAGATGGCATCGTCAACATGGTTCAAGCTCCCAGATCTTGGCACACTCACTCATAAAGCGAGATCGTCGAGTTCGGCACAAAACCCATAATCAACGTCACCGCGCAATACAGCATGTTGGTTATCTCGAGCGATAAAATCGCCTCGTCGAAGTCCTCTGCGTGTTTGGCCCATTGTGCACGTATCACTGCGATCGGACGTCAGCCACGCGCTATGCAACACCATCGAGGACACGGGACAACTTACGAAGTAGAAAGCATTGCAAGTAAAACGCGACCCTGACTCCTATCCCGCTAATGTCGGTATTGGGGTTCGGGCGCGGGTCACAGCCAGACGCTGCCAAGTTGTCCATGACTAGGACTCGTTGGTGAAGGCGAGACGTGGTCAGTCGCCCGGACTATCCATTTGAAGGGGAGAATAAGGAAGCCCACTGGCAGTGCAGGCTGGGAACAACGCCTGGCGTCGACAGCATGTAGACAAAGTTGTGGGTCCTGGTCGCAAGGTCGAGTAGTACATTGGCCGTTGCTGTGTATCGTCGGCTTCATTCCTCGAGCATCACGTGTAGTAGAAGGTTGTAGCGTGTACGGTAACAACGTATACAGCCGCGACACCCCGTTCAACGTGCGATGCTTTGGGAGAGGCAATGTCCGTAACTGGCTCGCATGGGCGACCAAACCTCCACGGTGCACAGCGGAAGTACACGGTGGAGGCCTGGTCTTGGATGATTCTCGGGTACAATGCTTCGAAACCAAAATCATCTCAATGAGAACCACAGCCTTCACTTCAAGGTCTATTGCACTATCGCGGAGTTCGTCATCCACGCCGCGGGAGCTGCACAAGCTATCGAGCTCCGTGCAGTGCTGGCCAGACTTGGGCGATAACGCTGTGACTCCCTGTAGTCATGATCAATGCCTGGCAGAAGTGCGTGTTCGTGATCTGGAACCAGAAGCTTGAAGCTTCGGATGCACATGCACATTTTCAGGTTGTAACTAGGTTCTGGGTCATACTATACACCCATTATATTGCCTAGAAGGACAACGTCATAATAGTTCTTCGATCAAAGAGTGGGAGGTTCAGTATGGGTACATATTGCTCATGTTGTCGCCCTCAGCAGCCCGTAGTAGACGAGGCTATTCGAGCCCAGCCACGTTGGATGTGCACCTAATAGCACTGAGAGAGTCTTTCGTGCAACTTATACCAGAGATCTCTTGTTGTGTTAAGAGAAAGGTAGGAGGACAAGGAACCATTTGCGGTTACTTAACTTGTTCACGCAACCCGGAGCTGTGCGGGATTCACCATGAAATTTATCGCAAATATGCGTTTGCACATCTGTGTCATAGAGAGTCCAGGGAGCTTTGATATCAGCAAGGCTCCAGACGTGATTAATGTTGAACGGGATCTACCTACCTACCTCACGCTCCAAGTCGGCCCTTTTTCTCGGATCAGACTTTTCCAACGGCGGTGTGCAGGCTTCTGATTGTAACAGGAATGTCGATGAGCGAGTTGCTCTTCTTCTGAAACGGATCACGGTACACAGAACCTGTATGTACGTAGTATCACTGCGCTCGACTCATGCGCCGAGCCATAACTCAGGCATGCACGACAACACGATTTGGCCCGGCGAGCTCGCGAAAGCTTTGCACAAGCTGTGTCTCCAGCTCACTAATGTCTGTAATGATCATCTGTAGCATACTCCTCCGGCGTAGAAGGGTCTGCCAAGCAGTGATCATATCGTTTGACGGCGTGTAGACACCGAGACAGAGCACTATTCGCTGCAGTGCAGGCAACATCCCGATGGTGTCTCCGCCATGTCCTTGTATGGATGAAAGGAGTAAAGGGATGACTATAGCGCAAGTGTCCCCGTAGTCGAGGCGCAATTCTGTTGCGCGGTGGCTACGTGTGATGATGTCCGTGGCGAGTGCCATCGAATGAGCGACGCTAATGTCCGAGAGGTCAAGGCACAGAGTCTCGATGTTGTCGAGTGGTATAGTGCGGGCAACATTGGCGATGATTTCTATCCACTTTCCTGCCACCTGTACGCGAAGCAATGCCGCTTGAGAACCTTCCGAGTACGCAGCGAGTTCGAAATGCGTCTCATCTGCAAACCTGTGATCCTGCCCGAAGGCCAGACGTCGTACCGAGGCGCCTCCACTTCGACATGCGCAGTGATTTACGAGCATTTTCATCAGCGGAGCAGAACTGCACGGCGTGTCCGTGACATGCTGATGCAAACCGATGAACACCGAAGCAGTGGGTGGGAGGTTGATACAGCCCAGCCAAGGAGAGATATGCGACCCGGGGCCAGACAACTCTAGAGATTCCAACCGATCTAGTGTGACAACGCTTCCGTGAGTACTGTGTCGTCAATGAGCGCCGGCCATGTTATCTTTAACGCCAATCTTCGCAGCGAAGGCATGGCTTTGAGGGCCATGACCAGTTGCGATCCACTAGGGAACGAATCTGCAGGTACATAATCAAGCTCCAGGGTGGTCAAACCACCAACCAGCGTAACACAGTGCATCATGTCCCACGTGAAGGATGGACCGGAGATGGACAAATCACGGAGTAAAGGCGCGTGAAGGCCGAGAAAGTTGTCTGGAAGACGAACTCCAGATCTCGTCATCACTGAGCATTGGCGGATGAGGTGAGCGGGGACTGAAAGTAATTGGATATGCTGCATGTCGAACTCCGGGTTATGCAGGGTGAGGAATCGTATGCAATCCAAATGGTGTAGTGCGGCGGCCTCTGCCTCAAAGTGAGGCCTGACCCAATGAGCCATATTGGGATGATAGAATTGGAGAGGGCCTCTTTTCGACCTCAACAAGAACACGGTTGCGGCTTGAGCGGAGGGAGCGGATGCGATCGAACAACGCCTCTATCTCGCGGTCAATCCGGTCGCGTGCGGAACTGCTATGCATGTTTTCACATGGGTTAGAGGAGCAGCAGGGGATACGACGTCTGACACTCACTTTGTATCCATATCCAGATACTTCCTCCACTCGAAGTTGACTTGTCGAGGTTAATGTTAACAGATATCTTCGAATATGCTTGATATGCTGGTGCCTAGATTCTATGCGCAAAATCACCGCAGTACAATCGCGAGGAGAAGGCGAAGACTCGAAAAGTTGGGTGGGTGATGGTGAGTGTGGCCGATGTCCGACGCGCATAAGTAGTATACTATATGAGATCGTCTCTTCGGCCAGATGGTCTCTTCGGCCAGTCACTGACACGTCACATCTCCGCGCTGATGTCCCATCAGAAACTTTGGTACTCCGCTCGGGGTGGCCGACTCGTCCTCGACAGACGATTTTTCGTACGATGTCTGAAGCTCACGTTCTATTATGAAGGATGTAAGCTACAGTAACAGCAACAATTTACAGCTAGCCGTGAGTAAGAACATAATCCGAATGAGTATCGTGGTGATTAAGAGTCAAGGTCGTCAACAAGCATGTTTGAATCAGAACTCCCCGGGCAATCATGCGAGGCTTCATCAGATGTTGGGTCGAGAGATGTCAGATGCGATGTGGAATCGGGGCAGGCTCTTTGCGCAGAGCGTCGGGAAGACTTGAAAAGGCCTGCAAACCGGTTGAGCTTGCTCTCGAACAGCGAGTCTGTCGTACTTTGATGCTGTCGTCCAATTCGGATAGTGTGTGCTCCGCTGCGTTTCTGGGTTCGATCTGCACCCATTGGCAGAGCAATACTGACATGAAAATGAGTGAATACTTGTCTGTCGTCGCGTTGCCTGACGCGTTGCGACGCGTTCAGTGTTTGAACTCCGGCCGGCTGTCATCCGGCATTGTCGGCACCACATCACACAGCGTGACTCGACCGACATTGTCTACCTCAACTTTGAGCAGTGTAACTCGCTATATTATGCTCTCAAAACAATTGAAAACACAGTATATTGGGACAGTCAAAGAATGAAGTCGAACTGTGCCGTGGAACGTGAGATATAGCAGGGTGGCCGATTCGACGATGTGGCCGAAGTGATGATCTCATATAGTAGTAGTCTCGCAATCGTGACCACCAGGCTCATACTACGCGGCTTCGAGCCTCAGGCCTCAGCCCAAATAAGTAGGCAAAATTTTTCAAGTTTGGTCAAACATAACCACAGTAGGTAGGCTACAACCTGCAATCTATACAGGAACGATAACAAATGCGACAGAAGAACGACACCCTGATGAACGGATAATCAAGCCCTCTTCAGCCATCCCACTTCAAGTCCACACATCACGCGCACGCTCTCGGGATAGGCGCCGCTGCTCTCCTTGAGCATGGCCGCTAACCGGCGGCAGACGCTCATCGGATAAAAGAGGTGCTCTGCCTGCGGAAAGCCCGGATACTTGTCCAAAATGCTGTCATAGCCCGAAGGTCAGCATCCTGCGCGAAACAGTAGACCAGGAGAAATAACGCACGCAGGCAGTTCTGCGGGATCTGTGTTGGGTCCGAGGATCTTCCAGAGGGTTTTCGCAGCTCGGAGGGTGCCGCTGCGAGGGATGAGGTACTGCGCGGGCGTGGTGTACGCGAGGCGGATGCTTGGTTTGAATAACCATATCTATCCACGTCATACGTCGAGTCGATAACACGGGCGGCAATATACAAGGCATGGAACGTACCAGCAGACGTGGCCGTTCATCCTCTTCGTCGAAGATAACGAATCGATAGGTCGCGTGGGCTTGGACCAGCTCCACCATGTCCTCTACGATGAAGGCCGAGAGCGGAACCTGCGACAGACTGCAATGAAGTCCAACCAATCAGTCCATCAGAATCGGAAAGATTGGGGAACGATAACATACTTCGCCTTGCTGCTTACGGGTCGTATGGCATATTTGGCCAAGCGATACGTGACAGACAGCGTGCCGTCCTCCGTTCGGTTGTCCTTACACCGCCCAGCGACAGCCCCGCATAGACACCTGACTAGCCGCCAATCCTCGCCTCTCTGTAATAAGCAAGAGGTTGTTAGGGTCCGTACGTCACAGGACGATGAGCGATAGAAATCAGAACAGAGAAAATCACGCCAAAATTGCGCATGTGCCCTCGCAGGTAGCTCCCGAGGCATGAGCCTCACCACTCGAGAGTTGTCTGTGCAAGCAGCGCAACGCGTTCACACGCGCTGGTCAATCTTGGACGCATTGTATCAGCCAATGAAGCATCCACCGTCCTAGGAGCCCGGCAAGGGCGCCGCCGCGCAGAACCAACGAGGGCTCCGCGCAGCAGCGGAACCCAACCTCGGCGGCAAAGGGGGAGTACGCCACCGGTAGGAGACCCGGCGCTGGCCTTCTTTTCGTCCAAAGGCAACAACAAATTGAATGGAGACGGAGAAGAGAAAAGCGAGGTTGGCGTGAACGCAACACCTACCTTTGGCTCGTCTGCCGCCGCGAGGTTCGTCTTGACTATGCAACCATCGTCAAACAAGACATAGCTACCACCGACGAGCGCCTCGCCCGGATGCGGCCATATGCCCTTCCCGTGCCGCACGACCTGCTCATTGAGCTTCTGCGTGGTATGACACATCCACGCGTCAACGAGTTCCGCCCAGTGCTCCGATGGCAAGTCGCGATACTCGCAGCCCGCTCGCGCAGGCGCGACGAGTGGGAGCGAGCAGGACGCGCAAATGAACGACGTCGGTTGCGCGTCGGTCAGTTGCTGTGCGTCCAAAAGCGGCGGGCGATCGTGCTCCGACTGAGGCTGCAACGTGCCCTCAAATCCAGGGGAGGACGGCGCACTAGACCCATATGTGGGTATCTTGACCTCGTAATGCGTGCTCTGCACAAGCACATCGCGCTCGCCCGGGCGTACGCGTACGGGCAACGCGAGCGGCGCGCTCGTGCGGTCGCCGCAGCGGAACACAAGCCGTTCGCGCTCGGCATCACCGCCGACGCCGGAAGCGAGCAGGACTTGCGCCGTAACGTTCTTCCCGGGCACAACGTTCGCAACGCTCGCGAAGACGAGGACATGTTGGAGATTTTCGTGGTGCTCCGCGACGTAGGTCACCTCCAGGCCCGCTGAAACACCCAAGTTAGCCCCCCGATGAGTGGATACGCGATTTGGTTGAACCGACCTTGAAGGCCCTGTGCGAGCGACGGCATTGCTACCTCCTTCCCGCTTGACGACTTGGGCCGCGACTTCTTCGACCCTTTCCGCGACAGAGACCGCTCCTTCTCCTTCTCCGCGCTTCCGGGCGTCCCCGGCCGCGAGCTCTCCCGCGACAGCAGCCACGCCAAAGGCGGCGCACTCAAACTTCGGCTCCGCGAAGACGATGGCCGTTTCGTCGCCTCCTCCGTCGCGATTTGCTGCTCACTCCTGCTGGTACTGGCAACGAGCCCCGGCGGCACGGGCTGGCGGATGAATTCGGGCAGCGTGAGCATCGCCTCCGGGTCCGCATCTAATTCACGCTGCAGCTCAGCGGGGATCGCCTCGCGCATGAACTCAGGAAGCGTGAGCAGCGCATGCGGGTCCCGCTGTCGCTCCCGGCGCTCGGCGTCCTGGTCGTGCAGCCTCCGAGCATCGGAGTGTTGTGCGAGGTGGTTAACGAAGGTTTCTTTCTGCAGAGACGGCCTGTATTAGCCCAATCTGAGGAAAGGAGGGTTGAGAGAGTCACCTGTTGCAACGCTCGCTGTTTGGATCGTTCAAGCTGTGCCTCCATCCCGCCGGGGCCCTTGAGCACGACCGCCTGGTCGACCAGCTTGCGTTCAGACGCGCGCCCGAGCATGTCGAGCAGACGTTGAAGGTCTTGAATATCCTCCTCATTCTTCGCACCCGCGTCCTCGCCCATCATCGCCCGCGCCTTAGATTTCGTCTGGCGTAGACTCGTTAGTGATGTAGAAACGTTTGACGAGCGAATTAGCAACTCACCTTTGACGCAGAGGCCGAAGAGGAGGAAGAGGGAAAGCCGGTCGTCCGCGCTCGCTCGAGTTGTGCGCGCTTGTCGCTCCGAAGCTCGACGCGCTGATTGTGCAGTTGCGGGCAGACGTCGTACAGGCGGTCGATAGCGCTCGTGACCGCGTCCAGATCCATCCGCATCTTCTCGTCCCCACCGGCGCCCCGGACGCTGCTCGTCTCCGCCCATCCCGAATGCTTGTGCTCCGATTTTTGCACGGAGTACATCGAGCCCTCGTACTCGGGCGGGAGCTCGTCGTCCCCGAAGCCGTGATCGTAATCGTACTCGGGGGGAAGGTGGTTGCCGACAACGCCTTCGAGACCGGGCGGGCGTCGCCGCGCCGCGCAGAGGTCGAGCACGGTCTCTAGGTCTTGCTCTACGTTGGACCATAGCAGCGCGCTCTGTACGTGGCGTTGAGGGGACAGGATCCCGCTCACGGACGTGGTGGATGTGGAACGCTCCATCTGCAGGTCACTGACGGTGCGCGAGAGCGTGTCAAACGGATTCTCCGATTGATGTGGCATGTTATGCGTGGAGGCAAGATCGGCGGGGCCCGGCGTCGACAGTGGAGTGGAGAGCGACGTGTCGACGTCCGTAAGGCGGTCGAGGTTGCTGAGCACGGAGAGCAGCGTGCGGGCGAGGGTCGCGTCTGCGAGTCGCAGTGCCGTCGATACCCTTCCGTCTTGGACCTGCCACTCGATTTCGCGGATGAGCTGCGAGTCGCTGGCCTCCGCCGGCGGCCGTTCTGTCATCTGCGGTTCATTCGCCGCGTCCGGTCCTGCGCTCGCACGCCGCCGTAGCTCCAGCGCAAGGGTGCGTAGCGATGCATTGGTAGCGGTCTGAGTGCTCGTGGTTGATTGAGGATATAAGGGGATGGTCGGAGGATGGGTGGAAACAGAGAAGAGGTCTGAAAGGGCAGTGATACAAGACTGCTGCAGCGCCGTTATGGAGGGTAGGATTTGCTGATGAGCGCACGAGTCATCAGCACCATCGCAGGAATACGCACATATGCAGTGCAAAAATTCAGACCCGACTTACTCGGTGTTGGGAAATAGAGCTGGGGCCTTCCTCGCGATCCTGGCCGGACGCGTCGACGAACACATTTTCGTCGTGTTCGCTCGATCCTTGCACGCGTGCGTTTTGCGACTCGCTTGCCGCGACGCTGAGCAATGGTGATCGTATACTGTCGACCGGGAACGGCGCGGGAACGGTCGCAGTGAGATCTACGAGTGCGGGTTGATCATGAGAGCCTCGTGCACGCTGTTCCTCGGGTCGTGCGCGCGTTAGCGTCGCCATGTCTCTTCTCCCGGAGAGTCGAGGAGGATACCAGCGTGGTGTCTCGCAGCGAGACGACGGACCTATGGACGAAGATTTAAACAGGCGGGAGGGACGAAGGGGTCACGCCCGTCGTTGATGACGGTGCTAAAGTCGGATTCACACAGCCTTGAAACTCATCTCCGACGAACACCTTCACGATGTCGATGGGTACCATCTCACCGCCAGCTATCTTGTGCAATGATCTCGTTTCCTTGCTGCATCTGTCGCGGGAGACGCTCACCCTAACTCGTCGCGAACTCCAGGAGTAGACTAAGCTCTCATGTTTTGGTCGTTGTCAAGGCTCGCTCGTTGTGCGTACATACTCGCGCATACACCTGCACAATTGGTCACATATTCAGCGTGCCATCTGATATCAGTCCACCTACTATGAGGTGCCAGTCATGGAGCTGTATGGCCCGAAGATAATGCATTGGCCATCTTGCCTTCTCAACCTTGTTCTCAAGAAGGACCGAATCTTGAATCATGCGGAATCGCTAGCCCGGACACAACGCACCCTGAACCATATGGCATCACCCGGAGTCGATTGATGCCGACGCACTAGTCGGAGGGTTATTCGCAATCAAAGCCGAAATTAGGGAATTGCAACGCCGGCAAGGTACGCATCACATCTCTTCACCCAACGCCCTTCTTCACGACTCCCTAGCTCAGTAATACCTCAGACAATGCAACGACACCACACGAAGCAGTACTAGAATGAATATCTATTGCTTTGCATTGCACCAATGCCACATCCTGCTCCAGGCCACCCTTCGAAGCATGGCGAGACGATAAATACGTTGTGGAAGACACGGAAATGAACTCGCGTTGATACCCACACGCGAACTGGCCTCAGCGGCCTACTGGCAATGAACGCGAGATTGACGTCCGCACCCGAGTCGGTACGCATGCCTGTTCGCCCGTGCTTGTACCCAGAAACTCGTTGCTTAAGTGATATACCAGCCCGCATCGGGCGCCAAACCGACGCTCACACAAGGTGCGGCTGCACAGACGCGACGTCCGCAAGCGGCCGTCACGCAATCAAGTGCACCATCCAGAACCCAACCCGATGGCCGCCAAACGGAAACGTCTCCGAAATTCGAGACGTGCGAAAAGGTTCAAGACGCTCCGACGGTATGCCCAACCTACCTACGGGCTCGATCTCAGACATGGCGGGCTCATGCACCGACCCCCTGTAGCCTGTCCCATCCACGATTGCAATTCCCAACGCAAGCCATGAGCAGGGCATCCGTACACTCGCTCAGTCCGATCGCGGCGAGATGGACATTTCCACCCGATCTCTTCCAAGCGATCCGGTTAGCACCCTCATGACTGCGCATCCTGCGAGCGTGCTGTCCGGTCCCAGCATCTCGGCTGCCCAGTCCGGTCCCAGCTCGAGGGTTGGAGCCGATGCGCAACATATCATCTCGCGTCAAACCATGATGTCGTTGCCGTCTGTCGCAAAGCTTGACGTTACCTATCGCAGCCAACCAAACATGGAAGTAGATCTCCGTGAACCTGAGCTCCAAATGGTACACGCTGTCGTTCTTTCTAAGTAGGCATTGTGACTCACTCGCCTTCGACTTGCTATAGTCTCCTGCGGACAGCACCAAACCAACTATCCCGAAGTTGGACGTCATACGTTTACGGCCCCGTCCCGAGCAAGTTCGGACCGAGGGAGCAGCCGTCAGACCCCAACGTGACCGCCAGTCACCTGCTACCCCCACGAGTCCACTCGGAGACGCCCGCTCGCGTGTCAACAGCCAGCGGCGTGCGCCATCGAGTAGGATCGATGTCGTCTCGCTGAACAGACGGGCGTCCATATCCTCGCCGAGGCAGAGGAGGGCGTCGATCATCACCAGATCCAGATCCACCAGCGAGAATGGAACGGCGCAGCCCCTGTCGATGTACCCGCTGAGACAGGCTGTTCAATGTCCGGAAGGATTAGGCTGGTCGCCATTTGCTACCGAAACGACCATTGACAAACCGGCCCTCGTTGAACGCGATGCTTCGAAGCAAGCCAAGCCTGCTGGCAATGACATGGAGGTGGTCACCCAGTTTGACTGCGTTCCGAAGATCGCAACCGTGTTTGCCCGCGCTAAAGGCTCACAGCCCGATCCAAACGCCATTGAATCAGCAGCCCTACGCTCGTCAACGCCAGAAGTAGCCCTCGCGCAACAAACCGTTCCCCAACCGGCCCCCACGAAGTCAGTCGTAGTAAAACCGGTCCCCACAGAGCCTGCTACCGCAGAAGCGGTCCTTGCTGCCGCCACAATACGAACATCCGCAGCTCTAGCAGCTCCGAGCCTGGAGGCCCACGTCCAAAAGTACTTCGACATCCTTTCCTCGCGGACGCGCATCGTCGAATCTCAACCGGTATGTCGAAAATCATGAAGAACATTCCACTTCTTGGCTCACCTCCTTTCGCACTAAGGAAAAACTCACGACCCTCTTCTATACGTCAGCGTTCAGCCATGCTCCCGGCTGCGAATACGCCGTCCGCATATTTCGTGATCCGACGATGCCTGGCCTTTGGGCGCTTGATTTTTATTCCATTCGCGAGCGCCGGGTTGTCAACTCCTCGCGGCTCGGATACGAGATCTGGCCGGATATCAATCTCGAAGACCCCGACGACCTGAGATTTCCTGCGCGACTCGTACCCATGCAGGCGACCGTAGGCTATCGCTACGAGGACATCCCAGAGGGCTGGGAGCGGTTGTATGCCCGGCTTGGTGCGGAGCTAAAGGTAATCCGGCGTAGGGAGTGGAAGAAGCCGGTCTTGCGGTTCCGTCTGCCGACGGTATATAACATCGAAGCCCTAGTTCGTACCCTATGAAATCAACGCGAGTTTCTCTCGCGCCTCTTTCTGGAAAAGTAGGTCCTAGGCCCCAAGGACGTCTATTAATCTCAACCGTCAAATCGTGTCACTTAGTAAATACGCTGTGGTAGCAAGTCTAACGAAGGAGAATGGTATACATGTATTTCGCGGACTGTTCTAGGCTGTACATGAATGCCCCGGGCTCATGTTCGTCCAGTGATAGGTAGATTTCATGCTCGCCTGCGGCATGTGTATTTATCAAGCTTGCGCCTACTTATCACCAAGCCTCGCGTCGATCGCCATCAACTAGGAACACACGACCTGGTCCAGTAATCTTGCAAATACTGTCCATCACTTCGTCTTTGAGCCTTGCTACTTCCGAGAACTCAACTTCCAACATGGTGTTCGAGGTTTTGTACCTCTGTAGGAGGAGTTCCTGCCAGGAAGCGATCGCTTCGGAAGATGGCGCTTGGGAAGCCAGATTGAAATGAATTCGTTGCAGTGCAGGTAGCAGGACGGGGGATGGCGCAAGGAGAAGAGGAATCACCGTCTTGGAGGTGTCGATGAAGTCTACGCGCAGCTCTTTTGCGCGCTCACCGCGAACCAGAAGCTGAGTGGCGAAGGTAGCCCAATCGTGGACCTCAGGATGCGAGAACTCCACTTCCAAGCATTCGATGTCGTCGCCTCGTATGGCATAGGCGATGTCGGCGAGGGTTTGCTTGTGCTCGGATGGAACGGCGACGCGGAGTAAAGCAGGTGTGAATCTCGACGTCACGAGTGCAGTATGCGCGGCGAGTTCGCAGTGCGATTCGTCATCAAATGTGAACCCGAAGACTAGATGCCACACGCGTGGCCCGTTCTTGTGGCATGTACCATGGTTTGCGAGCATGTCCATCAATGAAGAGAAATCGCAGGGCGTGCGTTCGCGGAGAAATTCAACCGACAGGAAGGCCGTAGGAGGAACCCTGATGAAGGCTAGAAGGTGGGAAACGTAGGACCCAGCAGCGGAGAGTTCGAGAGACGTCAAGCGATCCAGCACCACGACATTTCTGGGCACGTCGCGCAAAGGACCTGCGAGCTCTTCAAGCGGCGGCCAAGCCGCTTTGAGAGCGAGTTTTGTTAGGTCAGGCATAGATTTGAGAGCCGCGACTAGCTGTTCTCCGCGGGGGAATGAGTCCATGGGTATGCCATCCAGGTTCAGATCCGTCAAGCCGTGAACGAGTGGAGAGTGCAACACGTCCCAACCAAACCCGCGAAGAGACAAGGTACGAAGTCGAGGGGCATGTAAACCTAGAAATCGATCCGGAAGACGGCTTGTAGCGGTTGATGTAATCGTGCACTGAACGAGATGAGGAGCGGGAACCGAAAGATTGCCGGCGTACTGGGCGATGTCCGGGTCCGCATATAGTGTGAGCGATTGTGTGCGACTGAGCTGCTGCAAACTAGCCCTCACGGCCTCATCGTTTGGACGTTCATCTTTCGATTTCATGAAAGACAGTGAGGCACCTTTTGTCCGCGACAAGAACGTTTCGGTAAGTTCCAAGGAGTTGCGAGGCACCATGGTCCAGATGGCAGCAGTATCAAGAGCAACCTCCCTCCAGAACTGGCACACCTGTGAGAACGCATGACTTCGGGGGAATTTCCGGGTGTCCGCCTCCGCCTCTGAGTCGTGCACACAGATGCAGAAAATGAAGGACAGTATCTCCGAAGGAAGGCACGAGACGGGTGCCAGAGTGTTGCGGCGTTCGCGCAGCGATCGGACTCGTTTGAGCAGGGTTTCTATCTCTTCGTCTATTTCTTCTCGTTCGCTGGTACCCTTCTGACGTGCGGATGTGCTGCAGCACGTTTGGTGGGATAAGCGAGACGAACGGAAGAGTTGACGTGGCAATGCTCACAAGTTGAAATCCATCCTGGAAAAGGAGTCTCACGAAGTCACGGTCTATAGTCGTTTCGTGATCACGGTACAGGCCCTCCTCGTGTATCTTGCAACGCGAACAATTCGCAGACCAAAAGCAGCTAGGGTGGTAATTTGAGTCTAAGAACCGAGCGAGCCGGAAACCCTTTATACCATTTCAACAGCCGGCGGACCCAACGATGGGCCACTTACATCGCGACCACCGCCCACATCCTATCGTGCCACCACCGAAATAACGTGCATCGCTGTTCTCATGCAGTTGCGGGGATGATGGTGTGGCCACCACCCACCGCTGCGCGTCGAAACTGGGCGGGCATATCTGTGGACGAGACGAGGGTGTGGACGCTGAAGCCAAGTGGATGCACCGCTAGAGTCGCGTGAATGGGCAACGCTCCGCGGTGGGTATTTGGGGGGGCCGGGTTTCATCGCACTGAGCTAACCACAACCGCATAACGTCGGTATTTTTCATACATTTGACGGAGTAGGTTGGTTGGACTTGTTCCACGATGCAATGTCCTGGGGGGGGGGGAGGGGGGCGAACAATCGCGCCCGAGGGTGAGCATATGGCGGGAAGCAAACACGGGGGCTGTTTGCAGGAGAAGAAGAGGGATGAACTGTTATGCAGGCAGATGTGTCGATTCGAAAGCGGAGGCGAAAGTTTCAGGCGCATATTCGCAACGCAACGCAGCGAGCGAGCGAGTGAGCAAGCGGGTCGCGACTGGGATTTCCCAGTCGTGGTTATTCGAAAACGTCCAAGAGTTCGGAGGTCCTCCTAAACATTCGATCGCGATTGCATTTCGACCCGGATGGCCCTCATGGGCAACGTCGACGATGGGCCTGCGTCTTGATCATTACGAGAACGGTTGCGCAGAGCAAAGTGTTTTTTTTTTCATCCCTGAGATTGAGTGTCGGAGATAAGAGTACAGTGAGAGGTCGTAGATGATGCATGGCATTGAGTGCCGAAAACCAGTTGTTCTCCTTTGGGGGGAGGATTCTACAGGCACGTATCATATAGTATGAGGTCCGTCAGGCTGCACGCCATCATTGCCCAGTGAAATCATAACGTATGCAGCGAAGGTACGAAACGCGGAAAGTAGGAGCATGGAGTTGTCTGGCAGTTTCCTTAGGCTTGATGATGCACGCCGTAGTTCCGCCCAACAATGTCGGGCAGACATCAAAGTACATGCAAATCTTCTTGCACGTCATGTCCAAACACACACAACCACAAATCGCAGAACACGCATACACAAAAATAGGCTACGATACACCAATTCCGAGAGCCACCGACTACGTGACCAATGGCTAGATAACTGTTTTTTTTGGGTAGGTCGAGCGAGCCATCGACCGCAATCTCCGCCCTCCGCTCACTGCTATAATACACATCCGCAAACGGCCCACCTCCATCCTCCTCCTTACTCTCCATCCCTTCCCTTCCCGTTCCTCCGCTCCTCCTCCCGACGACACGGACTTTTGAGATAGCGGATCGGAGTTTGGCTATGATACACATTGGAGGTTTGTTGGAAGGTTGCGAAAAAAAAGACGAGAGGAGGAAGCGAGAGGAGCGAGTAGCGTAGCGTATGGGATCTATATATTCGTGCTCGACTTGACGAGGACCGAGGGAGACGATCGAGGCGGGAAAAAAAAACGGTGCAACTCCATATCGCAAAGAACGTGGGGGTGGAGTAGGGAACGTGTGTAGGAAGGAACATAAGTCTTGACGACTCCGACGGTTCCCCGCTCTTGATCGACGTATGCGCCTCCGCCGGCGCGCGTATCTGGGGTTAGGTTATATACAACAACAAGGTGGGTGATGCGATGAATCCTTTTGGGGTTGCGGCGGAGGGGCAAGGAGAGGCGAGGGGTAAAGAGATGGAGCGACGGGAAGAGCGATTTTTTGAGGGTGTGTCGGTGCCGGGTTCGGGGTAAATCGACGATGACGTGGGGTATCGATGTACGATGGTATGGCACAAAGAAAGAACTACAAAAACAGATAAGAACACACGTCAGCATCCAGTCACCGTTCACGAACGCAAGACACTCACGCGGAAAGCAACAAGACGCCCAACGAAATGAACACAGCACGAAACAAAAACCCTCTTCCCGAACGAGTGATGCGCCTCCTCGGGGAAGTACCGTCGAACGAAGCTCCTGCTCCGACTCCCGCTCGCGCATCTTGTCTGGCGGCGAGGAGGGAGAAGAAGACTAAGGAGACCGCGCGACGACCAAGTCGAACGGCAGCTAAAGCTAAGAAAACACACGAGAACCCAAAGAAAACCCAGGGAACTATGGCGACAAGGAGACGCGCGGAAAAAAACACGGGGACCATCGAGCGAATCGAGGGGAAAAAAAACCAGGTCCGGGTTTGAGGCGGAAAGTTCGAGAGACCGAGGCCAGGCGAGTGAACCGGGGCACAAAGATCGAGACCGAGCAATTGCGTATTGATACACGGAGGTGGGTGGGGATTGGTGATAGGTTGTCGGAAGGAGATGAAAGATGGGAAGGAAGGAACGTGGGTGGTATGTTGGTCGTAAAAAGTAGGGCGTAAAGAGACAAGGCGGCTGGTCGTTAACAAGAAAGGGGGAGGTATAGTTAAATAACGCAACGCGCCAGGATGGAAGTAAAAAGACACAGGACAGTCCAAAACTTGGCGTGAATATATCGATGATCTTGAAAGAAAAAAAAGAATAGGCGTTAAGAACGGGGGTGATCGTTGGAATCCAAGAACACATTTGGTAAAAGGGGCGGTCGATAGAAATAATGACCCGTCGCGACGAGCGACGAGCCGATGGTAATGTACTGAGAGGGAGAGAAAATAGGATCGCACGCGAGGGATGATAATGCGGCGGCGTATGGACACGATCGGCACTGTCGCGGAGTGGTGGTGGTGCGACGAAACGTCGATAGATGTCGACTAGTCGAGATGCCGAGCGTCCGCGCGGCGCGATGTCGGAAATAAATAAGCAGTTGCGGTAGTGTATAGTGCATTGCGAGGACGAGGCAAATAGAGGCCCCTCGGGCCACGAAACGGAACGTCGAATATCGAGGTGGGGTAGGGATGGAACGTCGGACGACCGAGGGTGATGGTAGCGATGGGCACGTCCGGACGCAAAATATTTTACACTCCCCAAGTCGGACGCGGTCGGCGGTGTACGGTGGTGATGAATTCGATGTCGTGGCGTGGCCGAGGCGTCCGAGGAGGAAGAGAGCCAAAATCAATGGCCGTCGTCGTCGATAGTAGGAGGGGTAACGTTATCGCGAAGAGCGCGAGGTATTGCCAATATTGTGCCTTGAGCTTGCGAGAGAGTAAATCGAGAGATTGCTGCGGGGGTTGCTACTGAAACACTTGCACAGAAAAGAGACGCAAGACGAGACGAGAGAGAGAAAAACTCTATGGTGTCGAGGGTGGTGGGTTGATAGACCCGATCCGGAGCTGCGTTATGAATGACAGCCGGGCCGGCGGGTATAGTCGAGTTTGATTTGGTATGGATGGTGTCCTGGAGCGCGATGCCTGTTTGAGAGTGGTATGACCGTTGATAGTGCGTGCGGTGATCGGATACGGGGAGGTGAGGAAGACCGTCCGGTCTATCGGGGAGAAAGACGGGAGGAGAGCGATGCGCGCCGGGAATATGGCGAAGCGTGGACGAGGGCGTAATGGTACAGAAAGCGAGCATAACGTCGAGTGAATAATGATAGGCTGCAATAAACCCAGCGTTGTAAGACGTGTGATGAACGCAATGAGACACGCGCGGGACCGTCCGGCGTGCGACCGCTATTCGTCATTCCCAGAGAGACCCAAGGGAAATCACCACCGGATGCCGTGGCCCGATCAGCAGACGGAAGATGAGCAAAACCGCTCAGAACCGCAAACGCGGCGCCGGGACCGTGTCGGGGGTGGGCGAGTTCTGGAACTGAGAGCTCGCAAACTTCCTCCCGAAGGGCTTAGCCGGAACCGAGTGCGGTGCGGGCGTCAAGCCGTAGACCATAGCGTCATCGCTGAGCTCCTCGTCGAGGCCGACGTTGAAAACGCCCTCGCTCGAGTTGCGCTGATGCACCCGGGGACGCGGGGGCGTGACGAAAGCGAGGTTGAAGCCCGTCGACGAGAGCGGCGCGGTGCGCGGGCCATCGTCGAACAGCGCCTGCTGCTGCCAAGTACATGCGGAAACACTCCCACGGGTGTCACGTGGCGGGGTGTTCGGGAAATCGTCCGAGTCATCCTCGGCGTCCGTGGTATCGTCGCAGACGGGGAAAGCGGGAGCGGCGCTGGCGACAGGCTCCGTGGTTACAGATCGGCGCGCCACGGGACGAGGGACAGAGGACGCCGCGTGCGGCTCCGAGCGAGAGAGCATGCCAGCAGCGGCCGCTTGAGAGCCCGTGAGCTGTACGCTGCCGGTGCGACGTGGCACGGCGATAGGGCGAGCCGAAGGAGAGGGCGTCGAAGGGGCCACAGGAGGCTCAGCCTGGCGACGACGAGCTAGCTTGCCGCTCGGGCGAGTGATCTTCGGCGCCGTGCGGACGACGATAGACTTCTGCCCCTCCGTGTCCGACTTGTCCGAAGCGCTGCTCAAAAACGGGTCGAAAGAGTTCGAATTTGGGTCCCGAGGCGCATGCGAGGGGCCCTGGCGGGCAGCGCCGCGGCGGGTCTTCTTTCCCTCCCCTTCGGGAGCGAACTGGGTCGCGGGAGGCGACGCCTGATGGTGCGGCTTGCCGCGGGGCAGAGCCCTGGACTGCGAGACCGAGTTGCTCCTGCATCGATGGCACGGCGGATAAGCAAAACAACACGAATATAGAATATCCATGCGATTCACCTGCGGTTCTTGTCCTTGGGTTGCTTGAGGGCATTCTGCCGGCCGCGAGGGGACTTCTCGGGGGTAACGGTACCTTGAGGCGTCGTCGGGCGCGCAGGTGCGGGCGCCGATTTCTCCTCAGTGACGGTCGTCGCATCGGTTGCGGGGGCAGCGGCGGTAAGGCGGGATTGCCTGCCCTTGGGCATACGCTGTCGGGAACCGCTGTGGTGTTGCGCGGCCTGAGGCTTTGTCGACGTCGAGCGTGTCGGCTTCGAGAGACTGAGGAGCCCGGGCGTCTTGGTGGGCTGAACGATAACGGCGGGGGGCGCAGACGGGTGTCGCCGGTGATGGTTGGGGGCGGCGAGGCCCATCGCGTGAACGGGTTTCTGGGTGAGAATCATTGTTGCTGGTTGTGGGGGAGAATAATGGCGGTAGGGGAGGCTATGGAAAGCCCGGGTAATATGGGGGAAGAGGAGGGAGATGGGCGGAAACGCTGCACAGCGGCGGCGGGAGGCGGTATGAAGAGAGCAAAGCGATATGGGAGTGTCGGAGGGAGAGGCGAGGCGCTGCGAAGCCGCGTGGGCCCTTATTTGATGCACGCCGCGGTCCCACGGCAAAGTGGCGCCTGCCCTATCCGGCGCGTGCGAACAGCGGGACCCCCGGGAGCGAGCGTGGACCTACAGCCCCTGTTTCGGCCCGACGGGCTCGGCGATGTTCGGCATCACCAAGCACACCAAGCACGGCGCCGCATTTAACCACGAGCGTCAGGGCGACGTGCAAAAAGCGCTGACAAAGCGTGCAATGGCGCTGGCCGGGGGCAAGGCCACTTCATTCTCCGGCCTGGCCCATCTGACCACCTCCCCCTGCATCAAAGCGTGCTCGAACGAGTGAACGCCGGCTTCTTCGCCCTTCTCAAGGCCCAGATGCGGACAAGGTTCCCCCCAACCGCAACGCGCCATGGGCCCGCAGCAACGCGCTGGCACTGGCAGCTCCCGTTTTCGATCATCCCGCGATAAGGGTCCAGCAGGAGCCGTCCGCACCTCCCCATCACTTCCCCATCCCTTCCGCGTATTGAATAGGATGAGATCAGCTGGATCGACCTGGATGAACCGTCCCCCTCGAGGCGGGCAACGATCACATCCTTAGTCTGCGATGCCTGGTGACCCCGGGCGCGCGCCCGCGCAGATCACATCCGTTGTCTGATCCCGCCTGACCAGCATCCCGGATCTGCCGACGTCACCAACCCGGGAACCCTATCCTCGTACACGTTCTCAGAGAGTAGTCCCGCCCAGACAGGTATCACAGACTGCCCGGACTAATCAGGTCATGGTCACTCTATCAACATCCGACGAAGATCGTTGCATCGCCCGGCTGAGCTACAGTCTGCTGTTGCACAGCTCAGGCTAGGACGCGCTCGAAGGAGACGGAAGCAGCGAACAATGGCCCGAGAAGACACGGGCGACGAGCGAGTATGGCTTTGCACGGACCTGCAAAGCTGCACCGCGAGTCCGCGACAGCAGCAGCAAATGGCACCATGGCACCAACTTGGCCGAACCTTCGGACGAAACACGCAGAAGGAAAAATTGACTGAACCGTGATCCCACCGCCCGCAGACCACACCCCTTCGACCCGCAAAAGGCGACACCCGCCCAACAAACTCATTCTCCTCTTCCCTTTGGGGCATCTCGATAGCCCAAAGCCCTCTTGCCGCGAGGCCAAGCTCCGGCATCCGCGCGGTTTTTTTTATTGCTAGCCCGATTGACAGCCCAACGCCCCGACCTGCTCGACGGGTCTGGCCTTTCGACAATCGTCGGCTCCTCCACGGAGCTCGGGGTATACAGCTAAGCTGCAGCAAGCACGCGATACCGCCATGATCTTCCCTCCACGGGGTTCGCTCTCCCTCGACCGTCCTCCCACCCAGCTTCCAACAAAAAAGCCCCCGCTCCCATCCCCCACCTTCTCCTCCCACATCCCGGACCCGGCACCCCACAAGCCTCAGCTCTGCCGAAAGCCACTCTCCTCGCCCTCTCACGTGGACGAGCTCAACCTTCCCCCCTCTCCCAAGCTCGTATAGCAGAAGGCAAAACACTCAGCCCTTCCCTTTTTCATATCCCTCAAAGCTTGATCCCTGCATCTCTGATGCCGGCGTCGGCCGCACTAGCTGTATAGTCTATACGTAGTAGCCCTGTTCTTTGCTTGTATAGAGGTTATAAATGCTATCGGCATCGCAAGTACTTCTATACCTCTTCTACGTCAGTCTATTGCTACAGCACGAGCGACGACAATTGCTGCCGATCCCGTCATGGCGGGTATCATTATATGCATGTCACTGTAGTCGCCAAGGCATGCGCATACAACGATACAAGGCCGTTGCGTTCCGCTCTTACCCCGCAACAATAAGAACGACAGTAATTACTACTACATAGACCTCACCTCACAATCAAACAACGTATACATCTTACCCGCATTGTGTGAGAGGAAGCGATAGAAACAGAGACGTTGCCCATTGTATATCTGTATATGACAACCGGACACGACAGCAACAAGACGTTGTAACCATCATACTTTGTCCGCATTAAGCTTCGACGACGACGTCTTCCTCTCACGTCCAGCCGCCACGCGCCCCTGAACTCGTTCACGCCAACAGCATCTTCCGCGGGTCCTCGATGTACTCCTTGACCTTGACTATCGAAAAAAAAAACGCAGAACACGTTCAACTCTCCGTCAGCAACAGACAAAAGAACAAGTCCCAGAAGAGGGGGAAAAAGAAACAAAACTCACCGAGGAACGTCACCGCCTCCCGTCCGTCCAGCAGCCTGTGGTCGTACGTGAGCGCGACGACCATGATCGGCCGGATGACGATCTGGCCGTCCACGACGACGGGCTTCTCCTTGATCGCGTGCATACCTGCGCGCACGGATAAGCATGAGCACACACATCACGCGCGAAACGACAGGCAGAAAGAAAATCAAATACAGAAAGCAGTCAACGATGAAAATGAAGGGCAACCCGCGCGGGGCCAAGTAAAGAGCCCGGTCCAGCCCGGACGTACACGCAGGAAAAAAAAAACAGCCAAAGAAGCGCGAAAACATAAAAAAGCAAACACTCGAATCAAGCGTGCGCCCCAGCGTCCGGTACACACGTCGCTGCTTCGTGTCGCCCCCCCCAACAGGCCAGGGACCCAAGGGTCCGCACGGCGATAGCGGAAGCGGGTAAGACAGGCACAAGGAACAAAGCGTAAACGAGACGCAGTCAAAAAAGGGGACTTCAAATGAAAAAGCAAAACGTCAGACAAAACGTGGAGGCGGCGTGCGTTAAGCTACGCCGACGCCGCACACACGAGGCTTGGCTCAACCTCCCTGCTTCCTGATATCCTGGTAGTGATACGATGTGATGCGGCTGCGACAGCCCGCCCTGCAGCTGCCGTCGGCGTATCCAGGCATTGGCGCGACCCCCCATACGATCAGGGTGCGCATACACGCCTGAACGAAGAAAGGGGGGGAGGCTTATGCGCATATCGTGGTGACGGCGAACACGGAGAACAAAGGGAGATAAGAGCGCAAATGAAGGAAGAAAACCACGCGCATGACGGATAAACGACGTCACGAAGAAGCGACGAAAGTGAAAACAAAACGAAAGATGAAGGGGGGACAGGAAGACGCACCGAGGACAGCAGACTGCGGCAGGTTGATGATCGGCGTGCCGTAGAGCGACCCGAAGACGCCGCCGTTCGATCTAGGGAGATCAGCGCGTGGTCAGCGTTCATGAATATATGCGCATCAATTGCATCCTGCAGCAGGATGGCAGCCGCGAATGAGAGACAGTGCTCACATCGTGAAGGTTCCGCCGGCCATATCCTCGAGGCTGAGCTTGCCGTCGCGTGCCTAGACCAGTCACGTCAATGAATTGGTGTCAATGACTACGATAAGAGTGCTAGACACCTTCTTCCCGAGGTTTGCAATCTCCTTCTCAATATCAATGAAGTTCATGCCTTCCGCATTGCGCACTACGGGCGTCACAAGGCCCTTCGGCGTTGCGACAGCCACGCTGAGGTCGACGAAGTCATGGTACACAATCTCCTCTCCCTAGTGACACACAGTATCAGTATCGTCGCGCATATATATACCAGGGGAGACAGAGTGGGCGATATCTAACCTCGATGTAGGCATTGGCAGCAGGGATCTCCTTGAGCGCGAGGGTACACGCCTTGGCGAAGGCGCTCATGAAGCCGAGCTTGACGTCGTGCGCCTTGAGCACCTCGTCCTTGTACTTCTTGCGGAACTCCATGATCGAGGACATGTCAATCTCGTTGAACGTCGTCAGCGACGCCGCCGCATTCTGCGATTGCTTCAGGCGCTCGGCGATGCGCAACCTCATGCGGTTCATCTTGACCTGTCATCCCCCTCACTCGTCAGAGCGTGCACGCATGTGCGGGGATGCGGCGCGACGCACCCTGGTCTCTCCCCTGCTGCCGGCGACCGGCTTCGGTGGCGCAGGCTCGCTCTTCTTCTCCTCCTTCTTCTTCGGCGCAGGCGCGGGGTTGTCCTCCTTCTTGTTGCTCGCGCCCTTCTCGAGCAGCGGCGGCGAGTCGATCTTGCCCTTGTCTTCCTCGGGTTTAGGCGGTGCCGGTGCAGACTTGTCGACCTGCTGGTCCTTCGGCTCCTCCTTGTCCTCCGTCTTCTTCGACTTCTTGTCCTCGCCCGCATCCTCCTCTTTCGGTGCCGGTTTTGCTACGATAGGCACGTCAGTTGCAATGCACGTAGACGAAAGCAAGATATAGAGATAGAGATAATAGAGAGAGGGATGACGCACATTCTCCGGCCTCGCCCGGTTCTATCCGGAACAAGTCCTGGCCGACGGTGACGGTGTCCTCCTCGTTGGCGAGCAGCTCGACGATCTTGCCTGCCTGGGGCGCGTTCACCGTCACGTCGATCTACAGACGGCATATGCATGCGTCTTCAGTCGTCGAATCCCGGACGGCCGCGCCAATAGATAGCACGCGTATATAGTCCGAACTGACCTTGTCCGTCTCGATGGTCGCCACCTCCTCGTCCGCCTCAACGAAGTCGCCGACTTGTTTCGCCCAGCCCTTGAGCGTACCCTCGCTGATCGACTCGGCCATTTGCGGCACCTTCACGGTCTCCGCTGTAAAACGTTCATATCGGCGCCATTCGATCGAAGCGCATTGACCCGCACCTTGGACGAGTCTCGAGGCATGGAATTGAGCGCGTGAAGTATACGAGCCAGCGACCTGCCTGAGATATCGAGGAGCGTGAGCGGCCCATCCCGAAGCAGACACCTAGCCTGACGCTCACCAGCCCCGAGCCATGGCGACAGCGCTCGCGCCTCTGCCCGCAAGTCCGCGAGCCCGCGCGACCGCAATCATTTGTTTTGATAGCATTATGTTCGTATGTTACGAGGAGGAGGGAGGGCGCAAGGGCGGAGAAGGGGGCGCCAGCAGGCGATGATGCAAGTAGCCAGACAGAAATGGGTGCGAAGTTGGATGACGGCGCGCGTCCTGGACGCGACTCGGGTGCGTCCTCCGGGCGCGGCACACCTTCGGGATTGCTTTCCTCCCGACGCCGACCGGACCAATCACTCGCCTCTACTTTGCAACTCCTCAGTCGCTCGGCTGTAGAGGGTCGTAGACTTGTTGCGATCAGTGTATTAGTTGTCTTGTCGTTCGGCTGCATTGTGGCTCAGCCTTTTCAGACCGCTAGGCTCGGGCTCGTTACAGGTTAGCCGTAGCTGCATACCTTTTTCGCATCTTCCTGGTCCGGGCCAGCGCGTTCATCTTGTATGAAGCCTGATGTGTATTCGTATGGGAACGTGTCAGTCGACTTGTGTTTCCATCCGTCTGATGCCCTGGTCAGCCCGAAGACTAATGCATAGCCATAGTAGTATGCACTACAGTCTTGCATCCTGGCGATGCGCCGAATGGGTCGCTATGGAAGTCGGCCGATCGTGGAGGGTAGGTAGGTAGGTAGTATTACCCGGCGCGGTCCCAATATCGGAACAGCCGGTTCCCGAGGCCTCGCTTTAGCGAGCTGGGACAGGGAGATCGCCCTCCAGACTGCCGCCATCTGGTTGATGGTCCCTAGCGCAACGCTGGCGCTGACCGAGACCTTCTTGGAGAAGTCGAAGCAAGCGACGCTCTCCCTCATGCGCTGATCTGGATCAAGATGCGAGGCGGTGGTGGGGAGTCGTATGATTCGCATGGAATTGCTTTGCCTGCGTGCAGACAGGCACACCTTTGCGCACATCGCGGAAGAGCTCTCGCTTCCTGCGCCGCTCCTCGTTCGATTCGAGCTACGGTCCTATAATGGTGGCCGACTTCCGGACGGTCTTCTGGGTCTTCATTCCCCACCGCTTTGCGACCTCCGAATCACTAAATTGTCAGGCGATTGGAAGATCCTGCGTTGTGCTTCGCTCGTCCGTGATTTAACGACCCTCAAGCTGCTCAAATCACCTGCAGACCCTTCGCCTGGGGAAAGGCAACTGGTGTTGGCTTTGAACAGTACGCCCTTCTTGCGACGACTCGTGTTGGAGGTGACGAGGCCAACGCCGGACGAACAAATATCAACTTGAACACGTCAAGGGACATCCCCAGAGGTTGCGGCACTGAGCCAGTTGTTTGCCTTGGACTGGTCCGGGCCGGGAGCTCAATTCCTTTCCCTGTTGCCTCATATATCGATGTGCCTTCCGCTGCTTCGCTAGCTCTCAAATTCCTCCGCGACGACCAGCCGTGCGACCTTACTCCGTTGATGACCACGCTGGCGGCCTATTGGACATGCGGAGGTGTTGGACCCGTCGTGCAGATACTGGTCTACGATTCTACTCGTAACTGCGAGCTCGGTGCACATGCGACCATGGCAGCTGTTCATCGGACGAGTCCCGCGTCCTTGCAGCTACATACCGCTCGTACGCTCGGGAAAGAAGCGAGCCTTCGGGATTTTGACCTCCTACGACCTCAAAGCCTGGCATACCTGGAATTAGCACTGCCAGAGATCTATCAGGACGATAGCCGGATTGCCGTCGCCGTGAGCTTGCTCGAGCGATGTGCAAGCTTAACCAGAAGTTCTCCTGATGCGCGGAGGCTCCTGCTTGGTGGTTACACCGATTCTTATCGTCTCACATGCGGACCCATCTCCTTTCGTCCTTCCGGCGATACGGACCATCGTCCCCGATACCTCTTACGACACCGTGGATGATCAAATACTCGAAGCCTCGCGGATTATCGCGTCGCAAAGGAGGAATGAGAGGCTCGGTGTGACATTGAACATGGCTGTGCTGAATGCCGATGGCATGGACGAACAGCAGGAGGAAAGGCTTGGCCAGGCTGTCGGACTCGATCGCTTGGTGGTACGCAGGCAAATATACGTATAGCGTTTGCGTACGCAACTTCTGCATGATGACCGTCGTATTCGTACGTTCGATGTAGCGGGCATCATAACGAAAATGAGGTCGATATCTATGGTACATTATACGCCGATGCGGCGCCTTATCCTGCCTTACTGATGTCTTTTCCAACTTCAAGGAATCTCGCCGTGGGGACACGCTGCACGTGAGGGCGGTCGCAAAGCGGGTTAACGTTACCCCGGCGGTCTCTTCGTGCCTCTCTTTGCCATTAGGGGGCCTCAAAGTTGGCGATTATGCACTGATTCTGCGTCGGATTATGTACGGATTATGTGTCGATTCTCCTGTCGCTACATGACCATAATCCACCTTTCAACTTTGAACCCCCCGCTACAACTCCCGATTCTGTCTGGATTCCGTACATGAATCATCTCCTGCCGACGCATCGGCATGTCCTTCTGAGCTTGAAATCAGAGTTCGGCCGCACGGCTGAGCCTGCATTTGTGCCGAAGCGCGACCTAAGTAACCTGACGACCTAAGTACTCGGCATTCCGACACCTCTGTGCCCACTACAATCAACACGATGGATTGCACCAACAGATCTGATCATGCCAGTTCAACAGGTATATGTGCTATGAATTTAAATAGTTTACTGTAGTTAGAGACGAGCA